GCTTTACCCATCCTCTGGGACTGCCTTTAAGGTGGCATGAAGAAAGGCTTAACCCTCATCTTGTGTGCTCTGGTACATTCAACAGAAGTGTGATCTAATGCCTGTTCCTGATCTGCATCAAAGTTGTGCTGCTGGTGAGCTGGTAGTGCATGGACTGTGACCACAATCACTCTTTAAATTCCTGTTTCTTTTTGCAAAACAATAATGAAGAAATAGGTTCAGGATTTTTATTTTTTTATTTTTTTTATTATTATTCCTAATATGGGTTAACTGAGTTCAGTGCAGCTTGCTGCATGCCAGGCTGTTGGGTTTTTATGTCCCATGATGGATTCTGAAGTTTCACTGACACTTCTCATAAAAGCAGGTTTCTGACCAAAATTTTCCCTTGGGTGTAATGTGGGTTGTCCATTGGCCTCTGCCCCAGAGGCAGCTTCATTTCAGCGGTGGCATATATAATTGAGGAAGCAACCCAGGAGTCTTTGGAGTGAAAGGTGATATCTCATCATTAAATATTGCTGTATAGTCTCCAGTGCTTTGTGGTGAATGGTTTTAAAAAGATGGAGTGTAAAAACCTTTCCAGGACTTCTGATATTTTGCAGACATTAGGGATTTAACTGTATGTCACATGAGAGAATGTGAGATCCAAAGGCAACATGATAGACGTGGCATTCGAGAAGATGTGGGCTCCACTTCACATTCACTATGGCACTCTGAGTCTCGTGGTCAGTTTTGCCTTGCTTGAACCTGTTCAATAGAATTTTTTTTCTTTTCCATCTTAAGGCATTTTGGACTCTGGATAAAACGAAAGCATGGCTGGGATTAGGGTATTATGGGATTTGGGCAGCATCTCAATATTGCTCCAGGCTCTCTGCTGGTGCTCCTTGTGCTTGAGCAAATCGGAGCAGCAGCACAAACTTCTGGGCAGGTGAACCTAACTTGCTTGAATTGTCTCATCAGCGTTTGCTTGTTACTGATGTGGTTGCTCCAGCTCATAGTACAAAAGCCGTGCCAAGTGTTATACCCACTTTCACTTCATAGAGAATCCCAAATGAGTGGATTTCTTCCCCCTGCTTTGGGCTCTCAAGTCTGTTTTTGTCCTCAGCAAATTTTCACTTTAATCACTTTACAGCCCTGATATCTGAGTACTTGCAAGCCTGAGTAGTTGCCTGAGGCAGGAGAAGGGAGCGTACTTAGAACCTTTAATGGAAGGCATCTAGTATGACCCAAAGGGAGGTCTTGTACTTCAGGTCTTTGCCTCCAGAAGTGTGTCTGAGGTGCCCAGAGGAGCTGGTAAGAAATATGTGAGCAGCTGTAGCAAGGCTGAGCACCCAGACATTTGATTATTTCTCAGTACTTATCAGAGGAAGTGTGAATCTCCCCCTAATTAAGAGCTAATGCCAACTTCTGTGAAATTTGTTGTCATTCACCTGTGAATTATCCTCCTCAAATGTAACTTGACTGCAGAAAGCCTGCTAGTGGTGACACTTTACTCTGGGAGCTTAATTTGAACGGTAAGGTACCTCTGCAATTGCTTATTGAACGGTCTTGATGCTGGTGAGCCTCAGAGGCCTGGAAGGGCAGTTTGGGCAAGCACTTAAAAGTCTAGATAGCCCCCATCTCTTGTGTTTAAAAGAGAGCTAGAAGTCTCCTGGAAAATCTGCTTCTCCCCCAGATTTCCAGATCTGCATATTGCCAGCTAAGGCAGAAGAGCTGCTGAAAGAAAAGTGTTCATTGCAGTCCCTTTGGCTCTTCTGTTCAAAGGCAGTCTGGAGAGGGGAGATGGGGAACTTTCCAAAAGAGGTTGCCCATTCAGAAGCCTGAAGTGAGATTTCCTAATTAGTCAAAGCAAAGGTAGCCTGCCCAAACAAGAAAGACGAGTATAATGTCCCTGCACCCAAGTCATTTAACTATTAACCCTGGAGGGGAATAAGGAGATACCTAAAACAATGACCCAGTTAATTCTGTGTGGTGTTTGAGTTCAGGGTTATTTGTTGCTACCTGCGGGTCTGGTGATATCATCATCTGCAGGCTTACAGCAGAATAAGGAGGCCATTATTTTTAAGTGGGATTTTAAGGTGGATTTGGCATGAACTCACCTGACACTGGTGTAATGCAATGACTTTGTTCATCTGTTGCTTGTTTCTACTGACCTGGAGGCACACAGCCAAGCAGGGATAAGTGTTTGGCCATTGTGACCCAGAGCTTGGGTCCAAGACCCACAACCAGACTTTGGAGCAGAAACCGGGCTTTTTATTCACTCTCTATAAATAAACATTATCCAGTGACTCCAAACTTGAAAGACCTTTCCCAGCTCAGATCCATGAGTTTTATTTCAGCACCCACTCAATCTGGTCTCCCAAGTGGGTTGGCTCATTATGCCTGTGGTCCCTTCCCTGCACCCTTGGTGGCTGGAGACCCATCCTGCTGCCCTGCCTGCTGAGCTAGATGCTGCCTGCCAGAAGTTTCCTCTTTTTTTTACCAGCATTGAGAGAGGTTAAAAGCCTGTGGGCGGAGGCCAGTACAGAGTGCCCATTGTACATGCGTGCATACCAGAGCAGTAACTCTCTGGAATGCTGCACAGCCGAGCTTTTACCACCTTGTGTTTGTGTTGCAGCCCAGGAGTGTGTGTACATTGCGTCCCTCTCCAAGGAGATTAACAATGAGAAATGGCAGATAAATAGGACGGCTTTTTTTTTTTTTTTTTTTTTTTTTTTTTGATTGGACCGGTTGGAAGAGGAAGGTAGCCCTGGCTCCCATCACCTCCATAGGCACAAAGGAGAGGCGAGGTGCAGGGTTGGTCAATTAGGTGGAGCAGGTCCTTGCAACTGGGTGGCTTTAATGTACTAATTATGTTAGCAATTAGTGACTACCACATGGTAAACAATTGAGTTCAAAACTATGTAAGGGCATTAGTTAACCCACCCTGTGATGGGTTTGAATGAGGTAAGCATGATTCTTGTTTCACAAGTGGTGAAACAGAGAGGCTTGCTGACCACAGGGTGAGTCAAGACAGGCGTGCAGGGGACCTTGGTCCTGTTAGTTCTTCAAGATCATCTTAAATAAGATGAGTGGCAGCAACTCTGGGAAATTAGTCTCCCCCGCCTATTGCCAGAAGATGTGCAATTTAAGCATAAGTGTTTTTATGGTGTACTTCTATTTACTATGAGCTACAGAAATCACCTCTAAGGCCAGATGGCAGTTTAGGCTCCATGACATTTTTTTTCTTTTTTTTCCCCTGCTTGGGCTGTCAGCTTGTGCTATTTATGGGAACTTTATTTGAATTTGTGTCTGCTGGGATCTGGGTGGAGGTCACTCAATGATTTTATGGAGCTCTAGGATGCTTAGGACTTTCCATTAGTAGCCATATGTGCTAAGGTCAGGTAAGTGACCCATGGCCATACTCCAGTGGAAATGTGGATATATAACTAGTAAAACATTCTTCTTATTACTTCTTTTTGAATTTTAAGCTTGTGCAAGGTATTTTTAAAAAGCAGAAAGAAGCCAGTGGTACAAGGACACGTGACATCTCTTGGAGAGCTGTGCTTTAAAGTAATCTACACTGATAATGCTGTTATGATTTTGTGATAGGTAGCAAGATCATTTTTTGTTTCATCTTTACGGTTTATTGCTACTAAGAATGACCGGGGAAATTCCTGACTGTGTTCAGATCTTGCTTGCAGTTTTTCAAGGGGTGGGGTTTGGCAGTGTAGCAGAGCTCATCTAGCAGAGAACTACTGCTTAAAGAGTAGGTCTGCACCCCCAGCACCCACTGCTGGCAGTGCCTTCTTGTTTCCTTTTCTGTACGCCAGAACTGATACTTCTCTGACCCACCAGGGAGCTGTTTCTGCTAAAGTAGCAGAAAATAGCTTTGTTTCTCTCTGATATACTTTTCTGCTCATTTTGTAGCTTAAACTGGCTTGCCGTGATGGGTGGAAGGTGGCTATATGGGGAGTTTTAAGGAGAGCATATGAAAGTGCCTCAACACCTTTAAAAACAACCTACATATATTGTTTTTAAACCATGTTTGGTATTTGGCTTCGCCTTCCTAGGTCGTTGGGTGATACACCTTTTGCCTCAGCTGGACAGTCACATGTTCTCCCATTAACTTTGGCCACGATTTTGTAAGGCACTCAATATGAGTTATTCCATCTCAGAGGGTTCAGTCTGTGATATTTTAAAGAAAACCCACATTTGAAAGGATGAGAGCATGAAGGGATGAAGTCTTTGCTTCAGTCAGCCCTAGCCTTTATTTCAGAGCAGCGGTACTCAAAGGCCTGAGGAACTCTGGAAAACATTGAGTTTAGCTTTCCTCCATCACCCTCAATACTCAGATCCCTGATATGCTCTGCAAGAGACCCAGGTAGATGCTCCTGCACTTCCAGCGTCCTAGGGAGCACCTTGGGCTGCAGAGAGTGTGTGCCTGGCCCAGTATGTAATGAATAATTCATCCTAAGCAGGATCCCCCACAGAATAGCTGGCAGACAAGGGCACCTCTCTCTTACCTGGGAAGTGGGGAAATACAGCATCTGAAACTCTTCTGCATGATTCACAGGGCAACACCGTGTTTTCTGTGCTCTGATCGCTGGGTTATTGTTTAACCGGAGGCAAGCGTCTGCCTCTGTTTTTTTTCCCCTCTAAAAAACCATGTGACAGAAAGCACTTTGCAGTAAGGAGGGTGTTCCTGGGTGTGGAGAGCTGGTTGCCCTCCTCATTTATTTCCCAAGTCTGGAGTTGAAGGCGTTTACATTTATATGCCGTTTTTGAATTTTTTATATCCATTTTCATCAGTTTAGCAATACACATGGCTATCATTCCTTGCTTTGCGATTAACAGATCTGTCCCCCAGAAATGCCGGCCAGCCTTGGTTCCCACTTTGCTTCAAGGAAGGCCGTTGAGATGCTGCAGGGGAAGCCCAGGCATGCCCTGTTTCAGTCACCACCACACTTGCATTCAATACATGTGCTAACTTCCTTTTTTTTTCTTCTCTTTTCTTTTGACAGTGGCAGATTTGGTCTCTTCTGAGCTCCTTGCAGCCTCTGGGCAATTGGGACGTTGAATTTGGTGAACAGTTACCATTCATTCCTGGGGATCGTACCTGCCCTTGCTCTCCTCATCCCCTCCCGCGCTCCCCTTCCCTCTGATAAAACTCCAGGGCGTTGCAGTACTGCTATGGAGCCCAGGGAGACTTTGGGCAGTTCCCGGCAAAGGGGGGGCGAGGCAGACTTTCTGCCAGCCACTGTCACCTCCACGAAGCCTCCGCCTGCCTCCGGCTGTGCGGGGGAGACGATGTTGCCTGCGGCGGGCTCGGGGAAAGGCATCCCGGTGAGCGGCGAGAGGCTGGAGCCCGAGGAAGAGGATGAGCTGGGTTCTGGGAGAGACGTGGATTCCACTTCCAATGCAGACAGTGAGAAGTGGGTGGCGGGAGACGGCTTGGAGGAGCAGGAATTTTCCATCAAGGAGGCTAACTTCACGGAGGGGAGTTTAAAACTAAAGATCCAGACTACCAAGAGAGCTAAGAAGCCCCCAAAGAACTTGGAGAACTATATTTGCCCTCCTGAGATCAAAATCACCATCAAGCAGTCTGGGGAACAGAAGCTTTCCAGAGCTGGGAAAAATAGCAAAACAGCTAAAGAGGAGGACAGAACACACTCCAAAAAGAAGGTAAGTCCTATTCTTTCCTCTATTTCCCCTTTCTCCTGAAAGCAGAGGGAAGGGATAGGATTAAACCTGCTCAGTTTATGTCTGAGACATAGCCTTTACAAGGTTTTCAAAGCCCTGCTTGGCTGTGGAAGAGGTAAAACAGGGCGGGTATCATCCTGCACTGCGATGTAGGCTGCAAGGATGATCTTAAACCATCCTTTGGATGAGCCAGTTTGGAAGGGATCAAAAGTTCAGCCAGGCCTCTTCTATTTTTGTGTGTAATTGAGATTTAAGATTGATCATTACATGGGTGATAAATGAATGAGACTACTTCTAAACTGCTTTGTGTCTGAGCGCTAATGCTTGAGCCTCTCAGCAGTTAAAGCTTTTGACTACATTTTTAAAATATAGGTACGTGCACAGTGAACAATTGAATCCATTCCTGTATACCGGGCGAAGGGCTCCATTATTCTTGATTACAGCATTGTGCTAGCAACACTATAGTTATGCTTCAGAAAATACTTCCATTATAAGTCTCATTTTCTTCCAGATGCATATCATTTTCTCGAAATATCATTCTGGAGAGAAATTTTTGGTATTTTAAGTTTGGAGGAAAATTGATCTTTTTATTTTTATTTTCTCATGTAGTCAAGGAGAGGAAGAAGGAGGGGAAAAGAAAGAAAATCCTTTCTTTGTATTAAGCTGTGTCCAGGAGCACCCTTTTGTTTTACCATTTTCTTGGTTTTTCAGTAAAGTCTCCTACACTTAGTCTTCAAAACAAATTTAATTCAAATGTTTTAAGCAGCACTGGTGGAGGGAGGGACACCTGGTGACTACTTATGTTATTTTGGGTGTAGTGGTGTTTTCTGTTCTGGGTATTAGACAAATGAGCTTTGGTTGGGTTGAGGCTTTATCACAATACATATACCTCACCTCTGTCTCCTCAGTAGCATATGGGCATCATGATGAGTTCAGACAAGAACCCAGCTTTGATGAAAGTCTCAGGAGTATTTCCAAAACCTGTATAAATTCATCTGGGGTGTAGGCATCCACCGATTAGAGCTTGGGGCATGACTTGGCTTTCCTGATCATTCAGCTTGGATCCCTCACTGTGCAGAAGGTCCCGCTTCTCTCATACCTTATACACTTGATGGATGCTCAGATGGCTACTTGAAACCTTGAGGAAGCTAATTGCCAACGGCTCTCCGTAGGGGCAGTCTCCTCATCAGACTGACTTAGTCCAAAGTTCTGATCACTTCTAAATCATTTTTTGAAGCATCAACATTTCCCATTGACTCAAGGCAGAGCTGAGGGAGATTAGCATTGCTCACTCTGAGAGTACTTCTCTTAGAAGCTGAACTCGAAAAAAAAAAAAAAAAACAAGGGGTATTTTTTTCTTAGAAACCTGCTGTACATTTCATACTCCATGTGCATGAAAAAAATAGCTCTTTTTAACACAGCAGAGGTTTGGCCCTATAATACACTGGGAAGAGATTTTCCCACCTATTGAGAAGGATGGAATGCCGCCTTAGCACCAAGCAGTGTCTTATTTCCACTTCCCTTTCCCCCTTGAATACTTGCAGAGGCCTCAGGGGAACTGGTGGTTGTGTGAGACCATGCTTGATGGGAACAAAGGTGTTACAAGATATCCCTCCATGTCCATGCAGGGAAAAATCCTTACAAACCATTGCCTACTGTGCATGGACTGTGGAGAATATGACTGCTTAGAAACTGGGGCTTTTATTTCTATTTATCACCCAGTCATGTTCCTTCATGTGGCCATCCAAAAATGTCATATAAATAAAGCTAACTGTAAGGAAACTATGTGCAAAAAAACCAGCCCCAACAAGAACAAAAACAATCACCTTGTAGTGTGGTTACACACAGGGTTAGACTTTAATTGCAGAAAGATAAGGAGTTTGAAAGAAGCGGATCGTGGCCCAAATGTTGCTGCATCCAGCTTGCGCTTGTGCTGCGAGGTCCGAGCTGGATGGTGCTGTGTTCATACCCCGGGCGCAGGCTGGAAGCGCTCCGGGGCAGCACTGGGCTAATCTGGCCATTAAAACAAAAACAAAACAAAACAAAAACCCAACCCAGCAGGTGGATGCTCTGAGCAGATGGGGAGAGGGCTGGCGCATCCATTAGCATAACACCCAGTGGCTGCCGCACAGCAGCTGTGGGGCGGGGGCAGAGAGGTCCCCAGCAGGGACCTAGAAGACCCCAGTGCTGTGATCTCAAGGGTCCTGATGCCTAGAGACCCACAGCCCACATCACCGGGTTGGTAAATAACCGCCATCCCTGCAGCCAAAGGGATTTTGCACATCGCTGCCTCTTAGCTCATGGGATGCAGGATGAGGCCTTGGCTGTGAACGTCGCGTATCAAGGGGTAGCGAAAGACACTACCGGAGGCGGTGGTTGGAAATCAGTGGGAGAAGGGTCCCAGTGCTGGCAGCATGATTGCTTTCAGGGCCGATGAATGTTTTTCATGGCAGTTACAGAGATTTTTAGGGGAAGATAGGAGGAAACAGCAAATTGAAACTTGAATGGAGCTGAAGCTGTCTGGTCCACCTGTGGGTTTCCCTGGGAGAGAAGAGCGTGCAGGTACCTTCTGTGTGTGCTTGCAGAACTCCTGAGAGCTGTGGTAGTGGTTAAAAAAACAAAAAAGTGATTGTCACATTTAGGTGATTGTAGTGGTTTTGATATTTCAGAGTTAGGTTGTTTGATTGCCTGTTGCTTTAATCAGTACAAACTCCAGAAAGGCAGATACCAGCAGCAGCAGGGAACAATACGTTTAAACCAGTGGGGCAGATTTTCAGCTGGCGTCACTCCACTGTCCTCTGTGGATTTTTGCCAGGAGAGTTTGGCAAAATATATACATTTCCCTTGTGCATGGAAGCAGCATCATTATCTGAGTTTACCACCTCACAGATGAAGGGCATGTATACAGGCTCCATAGACCTGTATATGAGGATGGAGCGCTGAGCATAACCTGAGCTGCAAGTGCCATGCTTGTGTGTCTGGTGGGTGGGAGCAGTTGTCATGTACCTCATGGAGTAGCACCTGAATTTATCTCTTCCCCCTGAGGGGGAGCAAACTCTATCAGGACTTGAAAAACCACTTAAGTTTGTTGCATAATAATTTCAGCCACATCTCCAGTAGTCCCCAGTGCGGTGAAATACCACTTCAGCATTCTTGCAGGAGTTTCAATACACATAGCACAGAGGGCAAGTAATGAAAACATGGAAGCAATTTAAGTAACAGCATGTGGGTACACAAAGGACTGGTAATGCCAGCAATGTAAAAAGGGGCTGTGAACTGGGGATATAGCATTTATTCAGTGACCACTTAGGGAGGAAGAAGACATGCCTGTTCCTAAGCTCTCCACTGCTCTGCTAATTAGGCAACAGGGGCTAGTGCCTGATTTCTAAAGCTGTGGTCCAGGGAGTGGGGGTGATTAGAAGGGGGCTCTACGGAGAGCCACACTGTTCATGTGCCGAGGCCTGGATTTTTTGCCTTTGATTCCAGCTGCTACACTATATTAAAAGATGTAAACATACATTAAATACTTTCCTCATGTTGCTTTTCCACGTGAGCAATCGCCCCGGGGATGTTATGCGATCATGAATGGGAGGGGAGGGAATCCAGGAGAGAGGATCTTGCTGGGTGGGGTTGAAGATGCCCGGGAGCAGGGAGGGAGGCAGGGGGTGAGAGAGCATCAGCGTTGGGAACCTCTGCTCTGCTGGCTTGAATGCTTGGCTGCAACCCAACAATTTTGGGGGTTTCTTTTAAGTCATGACCATGTCAAGTTTCACATCAACTTCCTCTTCTTGAAAATCAGAGTGAAGGTAGTTTCCTAACCCCTTTCCCATGGCTGCTTGGAAGGTGAACTGGAGCTTGGTCTGTCCATGTGGCTGCTGTGTGGCAGCTGGAAAGTGCACAAATGTTCTGTAAGCGTTTGCTCTTATTTCAACCCTTTGGCGCCTGGGGATGGAGTGGGCTGAATCCTTGCCACTTCCAAACCCGCAAATGGCTCCATTTCATTTAGTCTGATTGGAGAGCGAGGGAAGAAAAAAAACAGGAGCCCCAAGGATGTCCTGCTGGCATGTTGGCAAGCCCTGCAGTTGCTGCTCTCCCACATGCAGCAGGGTAGCTCAAGTCCAGCATCCTCAGCATCACTAAAGGTGCCTTTTCCTTCAGATAAGGTAACATGCTGTCAGCCTGGAAGGGCACTGAAAGTGTGGCACCAAATGCAATGAAGCAATCCATCAGCATTCCCTGCCTGTCATGTAGCATTTAACAAGCCCCAGATGAGCAGTATTTCCCTGGTTTTGTTTTATTTTTTTTTTTCCCCCCCTCTCTGCATTTGCTCCTCTGTCTGTTTTCTTGTGTCTGCAAACACTTCATTTTCTAACTCCTTCTTTCTTTAAGCATAGCCTGACAAACTTTCTTTGGAGCTTCCATCATAAGCATCATGTCCTGCTTCAGGAAATGTAAACTCACTTTTTTGTAATTATTGCACTGGGGTTTTTTGAAAGCTTGTGATGGGTGAATGCATTTTATTGCTGAGAGATAAGTGGCAGCAAGTCAATCGGAAGTAAAGCTTCCTTGTGTGCAGTCAGAGGAAACTCTATCCTTGGATTTTCTTGCAACACTTTTTTTTTTTTTTTTTCCTTTAAGTTCTATAGGTATTTGCTGTTTCCCTGCAGGAAGTGGTTCTAGCACTTTTTCCCTTGAAATTCCATTCATCGTCTTTCTTTCCTCTGCCCCACACATGCAACTTTCTCCTGTGGTTTGCCTTTGCTTAAGGACTCTCATTCACACACTTTCCCCTTTGCACCCCTCCTTCTTCCAGAAGATCATGAATGCTTCCCCTCCTTTTCTTCCCCCTTCTTTGCATCGCTGACTGCACATTGCACTTTCCCTCCGGGTTCTCATGTGCATCTGCAGCTCTTGTCAGATTACTCCTGTGCCGGACTCCTCTCCCTGGTGATTTGTGTGCATGATCATCCAATTGCTCATAG